AGACAAAAGACTAAGAGGATTAACAGGAACTCTTCCTGCCACATTGGAACAGTTGGAGGGGATGCAGATAGCCATGGTGTGACCTGTGCGCACTATATGGGTTGGAAAGAACCAAAAATGGCCAAGTGTTGCCCACTACTGGTGTAGTACAGTGCTAGATGCCTTGCATATGACTGGTTTTTCCAGGGCACATTGTGTTTGCAGATTCACATCATCCACGCCTTGAGATTTCAGGGCCAACACGTCAGACATAGGGACAACCCTTTGTGATATCACTAGGGGTGAGAGGGATGTTACAAGGGTGATATTACAAGCAGCAGCTCCTATTGATGTCATTAATCATGATACCTTAAGCATCAACCATGGTTGCACAGAGTACACCAGTCACTATCAATAACAAAAACACCGCCAAGCCTAAGAAGTGAGGAAAATACACTCACAAACACTTTTTAATTTAAGGCAATACTCTCATTCTGAGATTCCTCTCCCTCATCTTGAGGACTGAAGAAGAGGGGCCAGGCCTGGAGATCTGGGAACTCTGGTACAATTATCTGTCAGGATATACAAAGAGATCAAACTATAGGTGTGGCTCATGGGCCTAACATTTCCACTGGGCTTAGGTTCAGGGCCCTAGTTGATTCCAGCTACAAAGATTGATGATGAAGGTGCCAGGTATTTAGACATCTTCCATCTATGATACCCGAAAAACTAAATCCTTGGTCCTCTGCTAGTTCTGTTTCCATCTGGCCTGGAAGGACAGGTCTTGACTGACTGCTGCTAAGACTGAATGCTGTCTTCTGCAGGGTTTGCAGCTAGGCTAAGATTTTGCTTTGGATAAAATGTATTATTTCCACTATTGTTTGATCTACTAATCTACAGGCATCCCTCATGGTTTGCAGACGTCTCGCTTGTGTCTCTTCATCTTTCACAGATGAGATGCCACGAGGGACAAAATGGTGTATGCGCGCCATCATGATACTCAATGAGTCTCCAATACTCGCGTTATTTCCCATTCATGGGGTGGTGGTGTCCAGAATGGATCCCCCGTGAATGGGGAGGGACAGCTGTACTCTTTCTTTCTTTCTTTCTTTCTTTCTTTCTTTCTTTCTTTCTTTCTTTCTTTCTTTCTTTCTTTCTTTCACCTTAGGGTAAACTATTACTGCATTGCTTAATCTTAAAAGTATTTTTATTACTATGAGTTCTTGTTGTGTGCCTTCAAGTCATCACCGACTTATGGCAACCCTTAGGCAAACCTATCATAGGGTTTCTTTGTCAAGATTTGTTCAGAGGAGGTTTGCCATTGCCTTCCCCTGAAGCTGACAGCATGTGACTTACCCAAGGTTACCCAGTGGGTAAGTGGAGAATTCAAGTCTGGTCTCCAGAGTCATAGTCCAACATTCAAACCACTATGCCACACTAGCTCTCTATGCTGACTCAAAGGTGAACCCATCATATGTTTTTTGGGGAGCAGGATTTGCTCAGAGGGGAGTTGCCATTTCCTTCCTCTAAGGCTAAGAAAGTGTGACTTGTGCAAGGTCACTTAATGGATTTCCATGGCCAAACTTGAACTCTGATCTCCCAAAGTCCTAGACCAACACTCAAACCACCACACCACACTGCCACACTAGCTCCCTTTACTATGACATGTTTAGCCTTCTGTATGACTCTTGAATTGTAACTGTTATAAGTATCTGGAAATGGTTTTGATTACTTTCTTCTGAAGTTACTCTATGTTACTTTGAGCACAGTTTAAAAAGCATCATAAAAGCAAACAGCATGGTGATGATTGCCTACATCAGAGGGTTGTTGTGAGGGTAAAATGAGGAAGGGAGAACCTAGTATGCCACCTTGGGGGAAGGTAATGAATAAAACATTATGAGAAAATTAGCGTAATGAATAAAACAGTGGGAAAGCAGATAGATTAACCTGAAATACTGCAAAGGACAATGTCAATTTAAGTGTGAATTTTTTTGTCTATACAGATGAATCACCTACCAAAATTGATTCATATTTCATTCATCATGCTATTTATATCTAGCGATTTCTGCCTCTAGGTATTCAACTGAACTTGAGAGCAATTTGCCACATTATTCAGCATCCAGTGTGCTTTCTCTCTTAAACACACATTGCTCAGAGACATATTCTCAACCCCATGGAGTGTATAATACATGTATCCTCATGTATTGTTGCTGTTCTGTGCTTCAAGTTGTATCTGACTTATAGTGACCCTATCATGGGGTTTTCTTGGCAAAATTTGTTCAGAGGAGGTTTGACATTGCCTTCCCCTGTGGTTAAGAGCATGTGACCTGCCCAAGGTCACCCAATGGGTTTCCATGGCCAAGCTGGAAATTGAACCCCAGTCTCCAGAGTCATAGTCTAACACTCAAACCACTGCACCATGCTGGCTCTTCATGTACAGTACATGTAAAATATATTAGGTTTAAATGTTAAGACATGGATGGATGCAGCAGCCTTAAATGTACAAAAACTGTAGAAAATAAGACATTTTGCTCAGATAAAGAGGATCAGAGAGTTCGACTACTGGTCCACTAGCTTAGTAGTATCTGTGCTGAGAGTGGACAAAGTGCAGCCCTCCAGGTGTTGTTAGACTACAACTCTCACTATTTGCCCAGGAGTAATCTAGCAAGCAGTGGCATGAAAGCAGGGTAGGGATGGGGACACATGCCAGCAATGAGGTGCAGCCACATGTCACAGTGGGCACTGGACCACAGAGTCAAAAGCTTTCCTTTTTTCTCAATGGCCATCGCCAGTTACTAAAAACTCTCACTGGGTCCCACGACAAGAAGCAAAATCACTCTCTGTCTCTGAATATAAGAACAAAAGCTATAGCCACTCTCTGAGTCACTGAGACATCAACATTTATTTGGCAAGATATTACTTTTTATTGGCTCCCTAGAGGCCTAGGTCCTCCATTTGTCCAGGCCCCAGGGATTTTGCCCCTTTCCTCCCTTCCTCGCAAGTTGGTTTCCATCATCTTCTTCCCCATCTCATTCTTCCCCTCTTTCATCCTCCCAGCTAGCAAGCTGCTTGGATACCTGTCACAGAGATCTGAAGTGATCATTTGCAGAGGACTTTCAAAATTAGGTCAAGGGCTGCATACAATGAGGCCAAGGGCTGCGGGTTGCCCACTCCTACGCTAATCTTCCTGGCTATGGCACGCTAGGGTTTTAAGCATCTCATTTCCTTGTCCTTCCAGGAAATGCCAGCTTGATACTGACACCTCCAGTGTGCAGACTCTATGCTCTGCTGCTGATTTTTTATCCTCCCCATGACATCCACCTGATCTTTTCATTTTGTGGGTTCTTTCTCTCTTCAACAGTCATTGTCAGTATGCTCAAAGTACAAGGTGTGCTGCACCACTCCCCGACCCTGTCAACTGTATCATTTTCCATTGACTATTTTCCCATTGAATATTTTCATTAAACTGCAATCAACACGGCTCTTTTTGTTTAACACCATCAGCAGCACCTTCCATTTATATAACCCCTTATCATTGGAGAGCATCTGAGCTGTTGCACCAGCATCACAGCTAACGTCAGCACAGTTCTCAGAATAGCATTTATTAGCTAAATGAATGCTGGAGGGCCAGCAATGGGAATACACATTACTGTGTTTATGCAATCAATACTAACAGAGTGGCTATTGTTTCTGATGGCATTGTGGGGAAAAGGGATGCTCCAGATTACCCCAACATTTTCTTCCCAAGGGCTGGAAGACACTGTGAAGTGCAACTATGCATGGCAAAATAGAGACAGCCAGGTATCAATTGCTCAGGTACTGAAAGGGCAGCACAGGCAGAGGTCAAGAGCAGTAAGGTGCACTTCAATAAGATGCTCATTGAGAAAGGGAGGGGAAAAGGAGGCAGGTGAATTGAGAACATAAGCCAAGCTGTACAAGGGCCAGGACCACTCAATAACAGTGCCTTGCCACATTCAATATCCAGTTTTAAAATATCTCAGGTCGAAAGGCTATAAAATATCTTCAGAGCTGATATGAATGCAACTACATTGTTAATTATCTAGGATTTGTTTTGTTTTGTTTTGTTTTTTGAGGAAGGAAAATAAAAGAGAAAAGGGAGTAATTGGGAAGTGTGAAGAGATGACAGCAAAAGGAAGGAGGAAAGAACACATAGTGTTGTATATCTGGTTCTGTTAAGCAACAGAAGAGAACACCTGAGGAACAGGGACATCACTAGGGTGGTGCGGGGATTGTGGACTGCACTGGGTGACATCTGAAAGGAGGGTGTCACCTAGTGCACTCATAGGAAGGGACTGCCTTCTGATTATACTGCTGTGTCTCTCCGCAGACAGACTTCAGTCTAAGGGACTCCCCTAGACTGAAGGTCCTGAGGAGGAACTGGTGCACCCACCTAGAGGCAACAAGGAAGCCAGGATGCTGTCAGCATGCCATGGTGAACTTCTGGAGACCACTATCATCACCAAATGGCACCTGGACCCCTTTTGGGACTTGCAAACATGATGGATAGACCTGATCAGCCTGGGACATAGATGGTCCCTTTGGATACCCTGCTCCATCAGCCATTGGCTGCAAGGAGGCCAGTCTTTCTCTTCCACAGCTACCCAATCTTCTCATGAGGGACCATTGGCCTGGCTGGCAGGTGTGCCAGCCAGCCCAAGGGTGACGGCATGAATTACTGCACTGGCGTGACACCAACCCTGGTGATGCCACTGCTGAAGAGTTCAAGAGGAAATGTGTGAGGAGACTGTTACTGCTGAGGAAATTTCCATCCCTGTTTGGGAATTTCTCTGGTAGAGTTCAACCTCGGTGTTTCCAGCCAAGCACAATTGAAATAAGTCCAAGCCAGTGCATGTGTTGCCACTCTCAACCCCTGGCCACACCTGATACCTCCAATTTTACAGTAACACCATCTGAGCGAGAAATCAAAGTATTAAAAAAGCAAAATTTTACTGTATAGATCTTGAAAGGGAAGAAAATACTTCTGGGAACAATCTCCTGCATGTGTCCACATTAAATTTTATTTATTTATTTATTTCACTTAAATGAAAGGGACTTATGCATAAGGTCCACCTAAGATCTTCCATAGCTTGAGTCATCCAATGATTTTTGGTACCAAACAAGGATTATTCATTATTTCCTATTTCACTGAAAAATAAATATTTGCAGCCAAGTGAAGGCAAACCTCATCATCTTTGTTTCCCTTTCTTTAGTGCTTGAGGAACCATCTTTGTGAAAATCCCATTTCTACTTATTTCCCTAATGAGAATCAAATTAAATGTATGAATATGAAAAATCATTCCAGTCACTGTGCAGACAAACAGTGTGTTGATATACAAACTACAACATAATCCTTTTTTTTTCTGGGTAAGAAATAATCCCTTTTCTAGGAACATATAATCACTTTCCAATGGAACAAGGGTTTTGGACTGGTGAATGTCTAGTTGACCCAGACATGGAAAATAGAGCATCAACAACAACATGAACTTTTGTAAAGCTGCTGCGTTTCCCAAAGATGAGACTGGGTAATCTATTCCTGTCTCTTGCAGTATCTGAATTTTATTTTATTTTACATTATTTTGTTTTACAATATGTTTCACAAAGAATAGGTATGCAACATTTTGGTATTTATTATGCCACATGCCAGGACACAGACTCAAGAGCTCCTCCACTGGAGCATCTATCTGGGATACAGAAGTTTATGGGGTTGGTAAGTTCCCTGCTCTGGAACCTTTCAGGAAGTATCTGATGGATCACCCTCTTATTAACGAATGAGACAGGAGTGGGACATTTCATGGTCCATGCTTTCTCTACCATTCATTCCAGACAGTGTGTTCTTTAAATATCAGAGACATTTTCTGCAGAAATATGTCCAGTTTTTGGCACCTGCCACCACTAGTCGTAGAGGTAATAGTAATTCCATGAGATTACTACTGGAACCAGACTCCACTCCTGAGAACCACAGCAGTATCCTTTTAAATCAGAACTGATCTTTTATAGGCAGATGGATCCAAAGTGACATTCCAGAGGCAATTATCTCAGCTAAGCAACATTGGGCTACCTCATTGCTTGCCTTAGCTATACATCTAAATTCACTGTCCAAGGTCCTGATGTCTGGAGTACATCTCCATTTTTTAATGTTCACCACAGTGATATTCTTCATAAAAGCTGTGTTGTTTTTTCCTAGTGTCCCAATTACCCTTGCAGACCAGTTTATATGAGAGTCTCCTTCTGAATCTTGGTATTGAACAGAAGAATCACCACCCAAATTAATGAAGCCTTCTCATTACATTCCACCAATGACTACTGCTGTTACTGGGGAATATACTGACAAAAGCACTGGTTCTGAGCTTCCATGGTGCAAAAGGAAGCTGAGTGGAGGATGCATCTACACTATAGAAATAATGCAATTTTGACACCACTTTGAGTGCTGTAGCATCCTGTGGAAACCTGGAATGTCTAGTTTTACAGTGTCTTCTCCACCAGAGTGCTGGTGCCTCACAAACTGCAAATCCCAGGATTCTGTAGGATGGAGCCATGACAGTTAAAGTGATGTCAAACTGCATTATTTCTACAATGTAGATGCATCTGGAGAGACAGAAGAGCCAAGGGATTATCTTTACAGGCCTAGGTTGCCTTCTGTTTACAATCTGAGGTTGTCTTGGACCAGCCATGCCCCTGAACCACCAGGCAAATGCTGTGGCTAGTTTTGCCTTTGCCCAACTTTGATGAGTGTGTCAATTGCAATCTTTGCTAGGAAGGGCATATCAAACTACAATGGTTCATACTTTACTTCTTTCATACTTAAAAGTGCTATAGCACACTGTACATTAGGCTGTCCTTGAAAAGTGTTTGGAAGTTACAACTACAGTCGTCCCTCCCTGTTGCATGCCGTACGGTACACTATTTTGTCCCTCCTTGCTTGCCGTTCACAGAAACCCAAAACTGCGAATGGGAAGACCACAAACGGGGAGTGACGACTGTAGTGCAAAACATGACAGCCAGGCTGTTGTCACATGTACCATGTAGGTGACCACATAACAGTCTTCCATAAACCGTATGAGCTTCCAACTTGCTTCCCAGTTTAATTCAAGATACTGGTTTCAACCTAGAGAAGGTTGAGTCCAAAACATCTGGAAACTTGCTGGGTGACTTTGGACAAGTCACACACTCTCTGCCTCAGAGGAAAGCAATGGTAAACCTCCTCTGAATAAATCTTGACAGGAAAACCGTAGGAGGGGGTCACCAAAAGCCAGGCTTTCTGGCTGTGACTTCTAAATTCTTAAACTGTGAATCCCAGGATGGGACCCTGGCTGTTAAAAGTGGAACAGTAGTGCTATAATTCATAGTGCAAACAGGCCCCTGATGGTTTACCTGCTTTAACTCTGGTACCACTAGAACAATATACT